TATTATTATGGTTATGGCAGGAACCAGATATCCCTGGGTAGTCTCCAGGAATAAAGTCTAGCTGATCTGATGAACTGGCAGAGCCACCACAGTGTTTAACAGATCACAACCACTTTATATCTGCTGCCATTTTTAAAATGGTTGTGCAGTATGCAGGTATAAAGAAGCAGCATGTAAAACTTAACCTTGCCATAACCATAATAATATGTCTGTACAAACCAACAGGTTTTTCAGAAGGTGGTAGATTCCTTCTAAGAATGTACTTTTTAATGTAATAATTCAAAAAGTACATTCACCATTGGCTCAAAACAACTTCTCAAGATGCCCAACAGTTTATGGATTCCATAGGCTATCATTTTCATCTTTCTATCTTTGTCTTTACCAAGATAGGTATGTTTCCCCCAAATGCCTCAAGATTATCCTCTAAAACAGGGGTTTTCATGGAATCCCAAAGCTCTCAAGAATTTGATGGGGTTCCATACCAGGCTAAGAATGAGAAAAAGTTATATATGAACTTTTATAGGCTGGACATAATAGGCTGGACAAGAGGCTCAGAAGAAACCGTCTCTCCCGCAGGCTGGAAAGATTCTGTCCAGGTGGCCTCCCAATAAAACAGAATTTGTTCATCAAGTTGTGATTCCTATCTGGTTTGCCCCATGAGGCTAATAAGACCAGAAAGGTCATCTAGTCTAGTCCAGGAGGCCTCTAAACTTGGCAACTTTTTAAGACTTGTATTGCTGGCTGGGGAATTCCGGGAGTTGAAGTCCACAAGTCTTAACAGTTATCAAGGTTTGAGATCTTTGGTTCTAGTCCAATATTTCTCAAGCCAAGAAATTTCAAACTGGATGGATTTTAACACTCTCCATCTCCCCCGCAGGCCAAACGCTGCGAGATTTTCAGCTTGTCTTCTAGTTGCTCCTGTCCCTTAACCCTTTTCTTCACCTTCTCTGCAGGCCTCCCGCGATGAGTTCCTGTGCAGCTTCGCCTCCCCTTCCAACAGGTCAAGTCTTGTTGTGGATAAAGACTCGGGTAAGGAATGCTGGGTTTAAACCCCATCCCCAATCCCTAACCTTGGCCCATGGGGGTTGGGGGTGAAGAAGAGAGTTGGAAGGGACCTTGGAGGTCTTCTAGTCTTGTGGAAGGGATTTGAGTCCAGAAGGAGACCTTGCTGGGATTCAGAGCTTGTGGGTCTCAAGGCTGACCCCACTGGCCAGCAAGGGGAGCCCCACAGACTGTCTGTCCTTCCTGGGTCAAGGGGGTGGCCAGGGATCACCGTCCTGGGGCAACTGGTCGCAAGCCCTCGGCTCTTTTCCTTGCAGTTTATGGCGCCGGCTTCCAGAACGGGCTTTTTCTGAAGAGGGAAGACTCGCGGGGGTCCCTCGCGTCGGAAGGAACGGCCGGCTCCCCCGATCAGCCTTCCTCTGGGGAAAACGTAAAGTCGTTCTTTTGGATTTCCAGAGGGGTTGGGGAACAGAGAGCCGGACTCTAGAAGCTCTTAGAGCAGGGGGTCTCCAACCTTGGCAACTTTAAGACTTGTGGACTTCAACTCCCAGAGTTCCTCAGCCAAGTCCACAGGTCTTAAAACTTGCCAAGGTTGGAGACCACTGCTCTAGAGCACTGATGGGGAATCTTTTCAGCACCGAGGGCTGAAACCAGAAGGTGCAGGCATGGGTGCGCGCCACAGCATCGTAAACTCAAAAAACAGCTGCCTGTTTTGGGGGCGTTTTCAGGCCATTTTTCAGGCCATTCAAGCCAAAAATGGCCCGAATAATGCCCTGAAAACAGCCCCCAAAATAGCCTGAAAATGGCCTGAAAAACACACATGAAGACCAGCTAGCTGGCACCCGTATGCAAACTGGAAACCAGAAGAGCAGCTGGCGAAGGCGGCCATGCCCACAGAGAGGTGTCTATGCCATAGGTTTGCCATCATGGCCGTAGAGCAGGGTTTCTCAACCGTGGCGACTTTAAGTCCTGTGGACTTCAACTCCCAGAATCCCCCAGCCAGCACAGCTGTGCTGGCT